CAAGTGCTTTGTGACATCATTTGTGGCTGCTGTCGGTCTTTGCGGCTTCATTTCTGCCCTTCAACACTATTCCAGGTGAGCTTGACGATCCAAATCCTAGACGTCACTCACAATATTCTTTTTTTTTTTTTTTTTTTTTTTTTTCTTTTTTTGTGGAACTGGGGATTGAACTCAGGCCCTTGTGCTTGCCAGGGAAGCACTTATTCTACTGAGCCATCTCCCCAGCCCCTACTCACAATATTCTTGATGCAAGCTGAAATCAGCATTAACTATCTTTATTTTAGAGGCTTACAACCTGCCATAGTTTATGGCCACTAGAGAAATAAAATCAAAACAACACTGAATTCTTTATCTACTTGCCACGCTTATGTGTACCTATCTGTCGTGGAAAATCCAAATGACTACTTTAAGATAGTGCGCTGGAGCTAATACTGATTGGAGAAAGTATTTTGCCCATATCTTGTACCCCGAGCAACTAATTTTAAGTAAACAACATGTAATGTATTCACTATTGTCTTCTTCTATTTTTTTGTTATGAAATCTTGTTTTACCTTTTTTATTTTTTAACTTTCTGCAAAGCTTTATTCCGGAGGAGCTCGGTCCTTCTTGGCAGCTGCCTTCCTCGTGGCAGCCAGCACTTTGCTCGGCTCCTCACGCTTCCTCTTGGCGCGCACGCGCGTCCCCACCCTTTCACCCTTTTCTTGATGAACTTGAGGGCGCGCTTGTCCTTGGAGACCTTGAGCAGCTCCATGGCGCGCCGCTCGCTCGCAGGAGGCGAAGCCGCACACCTCCCGAATCGTGTCCCGCACGGACTTGGTGTGTTTGGCGAGGCGTCCGCGGCGGCGGCTGTGCCTCGGTTTGCTCACATTCTTAGTCACCTTGTGGCCCTTGTTGAGGCCCACGGCCGTGGGATAGCGGAGGGCCCTGGCTGCTCTTTTTCAATGGTTGCTGTCGTGGAAGGCTTACCTTTTTTCCATAAAATAAAATTTTTAAAAATTGCACTGGAGAGGGCTAATAGGAAAGTTGTTGTTTTATGATGTGTATTTTTCTGCTCTCTTAAGATACAATTGACAGTAGAAGTTGCTCATCTTTATAGCGTACAATGTGATGTTTTATATGAATATATAGTGAAATGATTAACCGAGCTAACCAGCCTCATTGCAGTTTGGTTCAGTCAGAAAGACAATGGAAATCCAATTTACATGACTAAGAGCTGAAAGGCTCTAAGATCCCTAGGGAAAATACTTTAGAGGGTTATAATGTAACTATGAAGAATGCTAGTTTTGATTTTTTACCTCATACACTTATTGATGAACAGTATGAAATCCACCACTACCAACTGTGGTCGCCATGGTGTTGCATCGATCTTTGAAACATTTTTATTCCAGCTGAAATTTTGAATGCTTTAACCAAAATCTTTTCATTTTATGACCCCCAGCCTATCTTCTATCAACCACTCCTCTACCCTCTGCTCCTGTGAGTTCAGCTTTTCTAGATCCCACATGTGAGATCATGCAGTATTTGTCTTTTTCTTCCTGGCTTGTTTTACTTAGCATAATGGCAGTGTTGGGATTTCTTTCCTTTCAAAAACTGAATGGCATTCTGTTGTATATGTTTATATTACATTTTCTTTATTCATCAGTTAATGAGTACTTAGGGAAAAGTTTTTGTTTTTGTTTTTGTTTTTGTTGGATTTAGAAGACCAGAATGACAGGTATTCCAAGCATGACCCTTCTATTACACATTGCTATCTTCAGTGCAGTTGCTTGGTTCACAGGTATCAGCATGCATAGTTAGTCAGGGTGAGAATCCTACCAATTAACTGCTAGTTTCAAAAACCTGCTGATGTTTCTCAGGATCATTGCCTTGCCCATCTTGTGCATATAAATGTATGACTTTGTCCCTGTCCTGTTTTTGTTGGGGGTTGTTTTGTTTTGTTTTGTTTTGTATTTAGTACATGGTCTACAGGGTCTCACTACATAGATCAGACTCATAGTGATCCTCCTATTTTCAGCCTCCCAAGCGCTGGGATTATAGGTGTGTGCCTCCACGCCCAGTCTCAACTGCCCATTTTAGCAAAGCCCGGGGGTGGGACCAGCATGGCAGTCTGGGATCCAACCCCAGCCCCTGCACTCTGCCTAAGCAGGCACTTTAGTCCACTGAGCTATCTGGCAGGCCCACTTAGGGAAAAAGTTTGACATGAGTCTTGGCAAAGATTTCTTGGCTATAACACCTAAAGCACATGCAACAAAAGCAAAGTGTGCTATGTGTAGTGGCATATCCCTGTAATCTCAATATTCAGGAGGCTGAAGCAGGAGGGTCACTGCAAGTTAAAGGCCAGCCTGCACTACATGGTGAGACCATGTCTCAAAAAAAAAAAAAAAAAAAAAAAAATCCAAACAACATAAAAATAAAAAAGCAAAATTTGATAAATGGAATTGCATCATAGTAAAAGCCTGACTAGCAAAGGCAGCAATCAGCACATTGGAGAAACAACCTATGGACACAGGGAGGATGTTTTCAAGCATACTACTGGTTAGAACTGATACCCAAAACAAGGAGCTCAACCCTTCGATAGTGAATAAACAACTCAATTTAAAAATGGGGGTCCAGGGGGCCGGGGAGATGGCTCAGTAGAATAAGCGCTTGCCTGGTAAGCCCAAGTGTCTGAGTTCAATCCCCGGTTCTGCCAAAAAAAAATAAAAATAAAAATAAAAAAATAAAAAAAATAAAAATGGGGGTCCAGAGGCCACGGAGATGGCTCAGTGGGATAAGCGCTTCCCTGGCAAGCGCAAGGGCCTGAGTTCAATCCCCAGTTCCACCAAAAAAATTAAATTAGATTAAAATTAAAATAAGAGGCTGGGGAGATGGCTCAGTAGAATAAAATAAGAATAGAAATGGGCAAAAGGGGCCAGGGAGATAACTCGGTGGTCTAAGTGCCTGCCTGGCAAATGCAAAGATCTAGGTTTAATCCCCATATTGCATATCATGCTGGCCCCACACTGTGCCAGCCACCAAAACCAGATGTGGTGATGCACACCTGTAATCCCAGTGCTGCAGAGGCTGAGACAAGAGGATCACTAGGAGTCTGAGCTGCATAGCGATACCCCGTACCAAATAAAAAAATCTTTAAAAAAAAATTGTGTAAATGGGCAAAGGACCCAAATAAACATTTTACAAGAGAAGACATAAAAAGAGCCAACAAGTACATGAAAAAATGTTCAACATTGCTAATTTTCAGAGAAATATAAATAAAAATACTGAGATATCACCTGACTCTAGCAAAAAATCTGCTATCAAAAATCCAGAGGATTAGGGATGGGGAGATGGCTCAGTGGAATAAGTGCTTCTCTGGTAAGCTCAAGGACCTGAGTTCAATGCCTGGTTCTGAAAAAAAAAAAAAAAAAAAATCCAGAGGATTTATTGGTGAACGTGCAAAAAAGAGATTTTTGCATCTGTTGCATACTGCTTACCATATAATCCAGCAGTTTCACTTTTGGGAATATACCCAAGGGATTTTTTAATCAGTATACTGAAAAGATTATTTGCATTTCCCTTATAGTGATCTGCAGTCCTTCACTTGCAGATTCAACCTAAGTGTCTATCAACAGATGAATGGTACAGAAGATGAGATGCACATACTATAAAATGATGGGGTACTTTTCAGCCTTAAAAATGTTGGGGCCACAGAGATAGCTCAGCGGTCTAAGCACCTGCCTAGGCAAGTTCAAGGTGCCGGGGTTCGCTCCCCAGTACCACAAACCACCTTGGCCCTGCCCCCAGGCATGCTGAGCTGGCCACCAAGACCAGGCAGGCATGATGTCACACACCTGTAATCCCAGCACTCAGCACTGGGGAGGCTGAAACAGGAGGCTCACTAAGAGTCTGAGCTGCATAGTAAGACCTGTAAAAACTACATAAAATAAAAATCAAAAAATGTGTGCTTTGTTTTTTGTGGCCAGCTCAGCCCACCCTGGGGGCAGGGCTAGTGTGACATGTGGTATCAAGGATCGAACCACAGTCCCTGCATGCTTGCCTACACAGGTGCTTTACACTGCTGAGCTGGGGCTGGTGAGATGGCTCAGTGGCCTAAAGCACCTACTTAGAACAAGCTTAGCAAAGTACAGGGACCACGGTTCAATCCCCCAGCACCACATGCCAGCCAGCCCCACCCCCTGGTGGGCTGAGCTGGCCACAAACACACACACATACACATAAATAAATAAAATTTAAAAAAAAAAAATTAAAAAAATAAATAAATAAAATAGACTGCTGAGCTATCTTGCTGACCCCAGGTGTTGCTCTTTAGTAGTAACTGGAGGAGAATTGTCAAATGAAATTGAGGAAGATCAAACTTAGGGCCAGGGAGATGGCTCAGTGGAATAAATGCTTCCCAGGCAAGCGCAAGGGCCTGAGTTCAATCCCCGGTTCTGCCCCCCCACCCCCAAAAAAAAGATCAAACACTGAAAGTGTCTCACTAAATTTTCTTTTTGCCAGTAAACACACTTGCATGTGCATGTATGTGCGCTGCACACACACACACACGCACACACGCATGCTACAAAGTCAAGGTCGCATGTTGGCTCCAAAAGCCCCACTATGGAATGTTTTGCTCCAAAGTCTCCATGCTTTGGTTGCCCTTCCTGACATGGAAAAAGAGGACAACAGGTTGGGGAGATGGCTCAGTGGAATAAGCGCTTCCCTGGCAAGTACAAAGGCCTGAGTTCAAGCCCTGGTTCCGCAAAAAAAAAAAAAAAAAAAGAGGACTAAGTGTGCAGGCCTTGCTACCTTTGTTCCCATCATCTTCCTGGCACTGTCACTCTAACCTAACAGTAAATGACACGAACGTCAGCAGTTAGCCACACAGGTAACTCTCTCCTAGGTAAGCTAACTTCCAAACACTGACATGTGAATAACCTTCTTCTGAGAAGTTCTCACAGCTTCAATCCATGTCTTACAAATGTTTCAAAGGTATTTCTGTTTTTACCTGTTTGCTTTAGTATCTACCACCTGGAGAAAAGCTAAAACATGAGCAGCAAGAGGAACTACAACAACTTCGCCAGAATTTGCGTCGGCTCCAAATTCTTTGCAACTCAGCTGAAAAAGAGCTTCGATATGAGAGAGGAAAGAACTTGGACTTAAAGCAACATAATAGCTTACTTCAGGAAGAGAGCATTAAGGTGGGTCTAGCAGTGGCAAGGCCTTTCCTAAAACATAGAGAATAGGTCAGATAGGAATAAAAATGGAAATGACGAGGCCCCGGGGGAGCTCTCGATACCCTCCAGGCTGTAGAGGAGGACCTAGACCAGTGGTGGTGAGCCTACAGTGCTTGGGCTACAATGGACACACAGAACTGCCCCTGTCAGCAAGGGAGACAAATTGCCAGAGCAGCCAAGCATTGGGCAGTGGTTGTTTTTTCTAAACTAAACCCCCAGTATTCATGTTTGTTCAGCGATAAACCACACCTCAAAAAACACTTTAAGGGCCAGCCAAATAGCTCAGAGGATTAAAGCACCTGCAAGCAGGGGCAGGGGCCAGGGTTCGATCCACAGGCCAGCCCCACCTCCGGGACACACTGAGATGGCAACTGAGACTGGGTGTGGTGGTGCGGGCCTATAATCCCAGCTCTTGGGAGGCTATAAACAGGTGGATCACTACAAGTCTGATCTAGTAGTGATACCCTGAACACCCTGTACACCCTTCCCTAAAATACAAAAAAACAAAACAAAAACCCACTTTAATTCCAGCCTAACAGTGCCAGATGCAATGTCTAGGGAGAGACTCTGGGTGCAATACTGTGTAGCAACCACACATTCACACACAGCTCTAAGAAGGTTCCCAAAGGGAGAACTACCTTCAGGGATTGAGCCACAGAGGGGATGGGCAGCCCCAGAAAAGGTCAGGGGCAGAGGCAGGCCTGGGGAAAAGGTGCTACTTCTTGTCAAAGGAGATTCTTGTGACATTGTTCTGGGTTATCTTAAAGCCCTGCAGGGTGTCACGAGCAGCCCCTGCCTTGTTGTCAGGCTCCACGAAGGCCATGCCTTGCCCCCTCAGCACCAAGCAGACCTCCTTGAAGCCAGAAAATAGGTTCCAAAGCATGGACAACATGAGCTCCTTGGTCTCCTCTGGCAGGTTGGTCAGGAGAGGATGTGATTTGTTGGATTCTCCAAGAGAGGCTAGGAAGGCGGCATCTGCCCTGGCACAAGCTGCCGTGGGGGCATGGCCCCAGACCTCCTTGAAGATGACAAAGACCTAGCCCCTGGTCTTCAGGCTCTGAGACACCAGAATATCCAAGATCTGGCCAAACCTGTCTTATCCTCTCACTGGGGCTGTTGATATAAACAGTGTGGCTGGGGCGGGTCCGGGGAGCTCCCACGTAAGAGCAGCATCGCTGCAGCTCCTGTGAGGAGCACTAGCCCAGTCCTGCAGACCGGGCCACCAGCATTCAGGATTAATGGCAATGTTGCCACTTTAGGATAATTAAGTGTGTCTGGGGCTGTAGTTTGGGCACTGGGTCTCTAAAAGTTTCACCACCACTGGTCTAGACTATGGTGCTAGCAAAAATGACTCAGATTGCGGCAAAGTAGTTGTGGAGGTCAAGCGGCCACGTGTGTGAAGTGATGGGGACTAGCCTGTGGTGGAAACGGCTCTCCGGGGTGACTTGCTGGTTTCTGGCCTCCACCAAAGGTTGGGTGGTGGCTTTATTTATTAAAATCAGGAAGACTGTAAGAAGATAACCTTGGGTATATGGGCAGAGTCACACAGTTTAATTCTGGCAGTTAGAAGGATACAGAGAAGTAAGGGACAAACAGAGAGGGCTGGTATCTTCTGCCGGGAGAGAAGGGCTTCCTGAAACGAAGGCAGTGAGGGCTCCTCAGAGGCCTGGCACGTTGGGCTTATTGGGACAGTGGGGCAGCCACTGGCATAAACAGTTCTGTTGACTTGTAGGGAAGAAAACCACCTTGAAGCAAATTCAAGTTTAGGCTGTGCAAAAAGAGAAACTCTTGAGATATTCCTTTGTTCAGCTGCCGCCTAACAAACTGAACTTCGACAAAACCGTGTAACGCACGGCTGCCCCAGAAGCTGGCAGCCGTGTTCAGTGTCTGGGAGGCAGAACCCCTCTGAAGGCTGCTTGCTCTGGCTCACGCACACGTCCACATCCACTCTGTGCTCATGTTTATCATCCCTATTCATTCCCCTCCTCTAGATCAAACTGGAGCTGAAGCAGGCCCAGCAGAAGCTGCAGGACAACACGAAGATGTGCTACTCTCTCACGGCAGAGTGGAAGCACAGTCAGCAGAAGATCAGAGAGCTGGAGCTGGAGAGCCTGAAGCAGGCACAGAGCATCAGGTCCCAGAGCAGCCTGCAGGAGCAGCTGGCGCAGGAGAAAGCCAAGGTCGCCGAGGCAGAGGGGAAGGTAACTGCTATGTCCTCGTGCTTAGTCAGCAGGTCGCACCAAATGACACTACCAAAGGCCCCATTTCTGTGAGATTTTAACAACTAAATATAGTACAAACCTGACAAAATACAGTGGTTTTTTTACTCCCCTCCATCTTTTTCTTGTTGTTTGATTTCACCTCCTCCTACAATTCCAGTAGTGTCACCTATATTTTCAAGTTGCATGAACTTAAAAATGTAAGTTTCGTTAAGGCTGTGATGTGAACTAAAGGAACTAACTATTATGCGTTTTCAAACGTATTTCCCTTTGCTTGGATTGGTTGTTTGTATGATTTTTAAATTGTGTAAATTATCAGAGCGCTTTTGGTTATGAAATATTTTTGAATACTGCCTTTGTGATTTAGATTGTCTAACACCAGGGGGCAGTAGCGTGCAACAGCTACACATTTGATGTGCCACTTTGAGGTCAAATTTTAAACCAAAAATTGTTTCATCAAACCATAGATATCAAAGATATCAAAGCAATCTTGATTTAACTTTAACATCCAAGGTTAAGGCTAAATTTAAAGCCAGTCTGGGCAACATACTTAGAGCCTATCCCAAAATAAAAAGGCTACAGAGTAGGTCAATGCTCCTTGGGTTCAATCCCTGATACTGAAAATAAAATTAATTAAGCTGTGAAGATAGAATAGCAGTTATCTTTATGCAGTAAATAAACTAAGAATAGGCATGAATGAAAGCATATTCTGTGGTGCTAGAAATACTCTGTTTCCTGGTCTGAGAATTAGTTATACAAGTAAAGCTTCATTGAGTATCCCTAAGAATTGTACAATTGTACCATGTTATCACTCCATAGAAAAGTAATTGGTAAAACTGATAAATTTTTTTAAAAGACAACAATAAATATTTGTGAGGATTTGGTGTAACAGAAACTCTTACATACTGACTTAAGTTGGAAGAGAATATTAGTACAGAGATGTACATAGCATGCAGCCTGATGCATCTACCGCTTGGCATAAACACTAGGAAAACTACTACCTTTCACATACATCTCGGGAGACAGACAAGGTATAATCTTGTTCCCAGCAACACTATTCCAAGTGGCAGAAAAGCAGAAGCAGAGGCCGGGGAGATGGCTCAGTAGAATAAGTACTTGCCTGGCAAGCACAAGGG